GTGTGTGTGTGTGTGTATGTGTTTGAGAGTGTGCATGTGTGTATGTACGCCTGTGGGGAAAAACAGGGACGAGGACCTAATCCCCTTGTGTAGTCTGCTTAATCCAAAAATACACATGTACCGGTACACATATTTCGGTACTGTGATGTCATGTAATCATTCATGTTTTTTTGTGTGTTTTGTGTGTGTGTGTGTGGGGGGGGGGGTTGTTGTTTTTGTTTCCGTAAAACGAGGTGAAATTGCACAAAACTGAGATCGTCGCCAATTTTGCAGTGAAATATAAAAGATGCAAAGACTTATATAGGGATCTGCCTTCATAAGGTTTGGATTCACATAATAAAGATATGTGCCATTTCTGGAAAAGGTAAAAAAAAAAAGGGGGGGGTGGGGGGTGGTGACAGTGCGCATGTACGTTAAGATTTATTAATACAACGTGGTGGAATCAGGCGCTCATCTATTTCAGGGCTTATGGAGTTTTGTGGTATCATCTTAAAACCTGCTCATTTCCTTTCCTTTTGATGAAAAAATATCCATTTATCTTGAAAACAAAGTCAAGATAATGGCGACTGAAGGAGGTGGGGGTCGTCAGGTTTCAGAGGTAAAATTAGCGAGAAAATTGCCGCCAAAGCTGAGTTAGGCCTATTTCCCTTGAGAGTTCGTAGAAACTGAAAATGTACATCTTTTATGCATTTAATGAAGGTTTCTCAGTAAATTCCACATAGAAATGTGTTCTTTAATGGGCATGAAAGGTGTTGAGCAACATTTTTTTTTAAAATTCGATAAAAATTCTCAACCCTACAGAAAAATGCCAGTTTCTTGACTTTCAATATTTTGTCGACCGCCTGATTTCACCACGTTGCCTCACTTATAGTTACAAACCACAAAAAGAAACATATAAGACCATTAAATGTATGAAAATAATACTTACAGAGATGTTGTTTGTAGTCATTTCATGGTATGTGTATAGTATTAGACGAAGCAATTATTGTCAAGACAGTACGTCTGTGGTAAAAATATGTTAACTTACTTTTCAATTGCAAAATCGGAGTTGATCATCTTTAGGTGGCAGTCAAACTTACGTTTAAATATGGTGTTAACCAAAGGGACAATAGGGTGGAGTTAATTTTCCTTACAGGAAAACATTATGAAAATGGTTATTCGCTTTTTGTCTTTATCCAAGATCAGGACATTCCCATTTTTAAATAGTGCAAATCCACTCGTCTGTTCTCACACTTGACATTTTACAAGTGGACTGGTACAGTATAAAATAATGTGACTACATTGCCATTCCAGTTCCAGCCAGTTCATCGGACTTGTTATACCTTTTCTTGCCCCCGCACCGATAGCATTATAATGATAGAAAACGGTGAGGCATATCAAG